GCGCTGCTCACAAACGCTACTTTATCAGGCACTACAGGAAAGACGAAATGAAAATGACATCGAAGCTTTTCTGAAGACAGTCGGTTCTTTTCAAAGATACATTCATATAAAAAACACCCGCGCTGCATTTTAATTTTGAAACGTGAAGCGCTCATTTTATTCAACGAAGTATAAGCCTTTTGGAAAATCTATTTGTGGCGGTCAGTTTTGATATTGTGATGAGCCGCCACAAATAACTCAATGTATAGGAAACACTGGACACTGCTATAAGTCAATTGGCCATAGTGATAACAAAAATAAAAGAGATCCCACATATTGCACTGCCTGCTGCTCATAACTGCTTAAGAGTGCGCTGGCCATGAGCGAATATATGACATCGTGGAGGCTATTGTCGGACCCACAGACACATTTCATGAGGAAAGTTAACGTGCACGTTATAATCAGCCCAGAAGTTTCGTCTGAATTGAACAAGCGCTCATTTTATTCAACGAAGTATAAGCCTTTTGGAAAATCTATTTGTGGCGGTCAGTTTTGATATTGTGACGAGCCGCCACAAATAAATCAATAATCTAAGTGATAACAAAAATAAAAGAGTTCACTCATCATCGTGGAGGCTATTGTCAGACCCACAGACACATTTCATGAGGAAAGGTGAACACGCAGCCAGAGGGAGTTCCGCAACAACGCTTAGTTGCCCGCCAGTGCGCCTGCCTATAAATCGGCCTAATTTGCAGCACAATCGGCCGATGCCGATTAATTAAAAATGCCAAAAATCGGCCGATTAATCTGCCGGCCAATCAATCGGTCGACCTCTAGCGCATACAGCACATTAAAACACAATCTTTATGGGCAAACGTGTCGCTCTCGCATTGGGAGTTCTGCGGGGAATCGGATATGTGTGTTTAGACGTAGGTCGGATGTCCAGATATTGCATATGTATCTGATTTAAAAACGCATTTGTAAGTGACTCAGATTGGATGTGAAAAAATCAGATCTCGTGCAGATTTTTGTGTTTACACGTGTGCAACAAATTCCGATCTGTGTCAATAAATCGGCCTAATTTGCAGCACAATCGGCCGATGCCGATTAATTAAAAATGCCAAAAATCGGCCGATTAATCTGCCGGCCAATCAATCGGTCGACCTCTAGCGCATACAGCACACCGACATTAAAACACAATCTTTATGGGCAAACGTGTCGCTCTCGCATTGGGAGTTCTGCGGGGAATTGGATATGTGTGTTTAGACGTAGGTCGGATGTCCAGATATTGCATATGTTTCTGATTTAAAAACGCATTTGTAAGTGACTCAGATTGGATGTGAAAAAATCAGATCTCGTGCAGATTTTTGTGTTTACACGTGTGCAACAAATTCCGATCTGTGTCAAAAAAAAATCAGATTTCTAGTGCCAGTGTAAATGCAGCCACAGTCCTCTCAGCTACTGTGGTTGACAAGTGGATGATGAACCCAAGTGTAGAAAAGGATGGATGACAAGACAATCTTGAATAAGAGTGTCTCACAAAAATCTTTACTAATTTGTCTTTTTGTAAATACAACAAAATATTCCATTAAAAGATATTTCAAAAGAACTGAAGATGGTTCAAACAAAAATATTCCCTTCATACAAAAAACGAGCCTCAAAAGTAACAAAGAGTCCCAGTAAACAACAACATAAAATATAGCAAAAGGTAACAGAGAAAAAAGTCTAACCAGGAACAGGCAAAAAGAAACTATAGCCCTATTCGGACAGCAATTGTTTATCATGTGGGCGTCTGTAAAAATTAATTTACCTGGCACCTCAATAATAAAACTCATGGGTTCGAATGACAATTTATTCATGGTGGAGGAGAGAGTTCTGTGATCCTATGAACCCGGGATTCTATTGAATTCCTGTTGCTACCATAATAATGACCAGTTTCAAATGTTTACGTGCTCTTCTTTTTGTTCTTAACAGCTCCCTCTTGCTGTGGTGGAGCAGTTATTAAATACTGTTCTTGTAAATACTTTCCAGCATTTCAGTATTAAATAAGCGTGCAAATGTAAGTGCAATGGTCACTGTGCGGTGTTCGGCAGTGGTCAAAAAAGATTTAAACTGTGAATTAACTTCTCTGGAAAACCACGCAGAGAGGGCTCAAGACTGAACAAAGGCAAAAGAGTGAGACAGAGCTTAAATAAGGCCAAAAACAGGTGAACACAAATCTTTCTGATTAATGACAGATCTCAGACCTCTCTGGGAACATAGCGTCATCTGGTGGAAAGGAAGAGTTCATGCATATAGGTTACACTCTTACATCCAAATTTTAATTTCACCACAAACGGGTTCAACAAAATGAGTCATTTTAGTCAGGTTCTTTCATGGATTAAATTTAATTAGTAAATCTCAGTAATAGGTTGCTGGGCAACATCATGTAACATCAGGTGTTGTTGGCAACAACTAGGAAACATGGAGCACTGCTCAGTTGTGATTGCAGTGTTAATTCCAGGTCTAAATGGGATTAGTGTGTGTGACCTCTGACCTCTTACACCCACAGGTCAATGAGCTGCAGAATCTTACCAGTGCTGAGGTCATTGTACCACGGGACCAGACCCCAGATGAAAATGATGAAGTGTTTGTTAAGATAATTGGACATTTCTTTGCCAGTCAGGTATGTGATATGTGATTGACATTCTCCTAGACTTAAACTGTTTGTTTTATTTGAATTTGTCTAAAACACCAGAGTCAAACTAAGTCACCACTGCAAAAAGTGGTAACCTGCAATTGTTATAGTTGTTACCTGCAGTTGTCATTTAGAAAGAACATTTCTACCTTTTTTTAAAGGTGGGGTAAGCAATTTCTGGTAGCCAATGTTGACATTTGAAATCACCAAAACAAGTACCCTATTCGCCCCTAAAATCGCCCCTATTTTGATAGCTCCGCCCCACACATACTATAGAACTCATTATAATCAGTGATGCTGTCTACACCATAGATATAAATATACTGTACATATCTATGGTCTACACTGGATGCAGCGCGGCACGACACGACAAATCCCCGACAGAAAACTGCTGGTGGGTTCTATTTATGACGTATTGACACAAATTTCAAATGATTTTCAACGGTCGCTTTGTAGCGTCCAGTGTACTAGACAGACTTTAGCTGTTGCGGCGCAGACACGGTGTTACTCACCTATCGAGAAGAAACAAAGCAACCTCGGCGTCCGATCGCAGGCCTTCCGCTCCTTGAGTTATCTCCAGCGCTGGAAAGCTGATCCAATATTTACATGGTTCCCACTTCTTTCTTTATTGCCTTAAGCCTTCTTTTGTTCCGCAGACGTTTTCCTCTTTTAAGATATTTTTCACATTCTCTCGTTTTTGTCCATCCATTGAAAATCCACACAACCAAATTTAGGTTTTAAGAAGTTCATAAAGACATTATAAACGTAGTCTTTTATTGAAATATAAACATTGATCAGCATGCATACATGGAGCCCATCATATGTGGTACACAGAAGCTAGGCCTGTCGCAATAATCAATATATCGACTTATCGCGCAATATATGTACATGACCTCAATAATTTTTGGTGACGCAATATATCGCCCATTATATTTACTTAAAAATTAATGTCACCATGTTTTGTACATTCCACTTGCGCCCGTGGCTTTTGCAGCTTCTCGTACATAACGTGAATAATATCACTTATCGCAATTATTTCTGGGGCAATATATCGCACAACAAAAAGTTGTTATCGTGACAGGCCTAACAGAAGCTAAACGTGCTTTCTTGATGCACAAGAAACATTTGGTGTGCCTTATTTATTTGCACATTGATCACTGTAAGATTAGTTCAGTGTGGTGGAAATCGGCTTTCTTTACAACTGCTATTTGGTTGTACTGCTCACTTTGTTGAACTTTTGTGACCGATAGTTCCTAAGTTCACCTAGAAACACCTGAGTACAAATACTCAGCTATATATCAATATATCAGTACATTATCATTCATATTAATTATTTTACACTATTGGCAGGTCCTGGATGGTCACAAAGCAACTTCAACATTACAGAATTATTATTCATGAGATTTGTCCTTTGTCATAAGTAGGATTCATAAATTCTTTTTTTTTTCAATCTTGGTATCAGCCTGTTACTAAAGTACTGGTACTTTTGAATTTCATGTTTTAGACAATTTATTTGCAAAAAGGTCTAGACTGAGACAGGTGTGCTGTGAAAGTAAGACACTTTGAGACACTTCTGATTCCCACTGCAGTTCACTCGTTCATTGTGAACATTAACCAGTTTTGGATGAGGCTTGAATGAAAGAATGGCTTGGACTAGACTGTGTCCTAAAGCTTGTTATTCGGGACTACATATGATTCGTTCAGCTTCTTAAAACATTAGCTGTTGATATAAATGATATATTTGCATGTGCACTCCAGTCACCTTTGGATACGGTGTGTTTGTTTGCAGACGGCCCAGCGCAAGATCAGGGAGATCATTCAACAGGTCAAACAGCAAGAGCGGAAACACCAACAAATGGTGCCAACACCCTCACAACCGTCAAAATGATCAGCAGATGCCAGCAAGCAGCAGCTAATGAATGTAGCTCATGCCAGGACAAATCGAAATTCAAGAACGAATTCAAGTAATTGACAAAGGGAGAGTGAGACAGAGCGGGAAACAGAGAGAGACAGAAGCTGATGAAGAGGACCAGCAGTTTAAAACAACCAAAGAACTTAAAGCACAAAAAACATTTGGTCATGTGGATATGAATGAAGATGTCCGAGTTTGTTTCCAGGTCAGAGATCTTTTTTATAAAGACGGACCTGATATTTCATATTGAGCTCTTTTTATTATTGATTAAGCTGATGTGAACGTATATTGAGGATTTGTGCACTGTGAAGTAGACTGCTGGATGAGGTGAATGCACACTGCAGGTAGATTTCATAGGGACTTGCAGGTCTAGTTGTGCACTAGATCTACTAATTTATTAGAGCAAATGTTAATAAGATTCTAAAAACAATTATATAAGTTTATTCAACAGAATGTTCTTTGGAAACTCATTTCAGGCTATTTAATGTGAATAATCAGATTTGTTTGCTGATCTTCTCTAGTAACTAAAATCATCAAGTGATCTCACCAAGGAACGTACATAATGTAAAAGACTGCTAGCTGTGTGCCAGCATTTCACTTCCAGTTCCTCTTTACCACTGCTGAGTCTGAGCGTCTCTCCTCTGCTTGCTGACCTGTTCTCTTTTCTTTCTTTTAAAAAAAAAAAAGAATTATTTTTGTTTCCCTGTTCCCGACTTATTCATCACACAAAATAAGAGCTGTCTGTGTGCCAACTGTAAAGAAAAAAAAAGTACAGTCTCTAAACAGAGGTAGATCTAGATCATCTTACTTTGGGAATCTAATGTTGATATCCTGTACTGCCCACGAATGATATTACACGCTCTTAATATTACCTTACACTACCATTCAAAAAGTTACTACTTTTCTGATCAAAAGTGACTAATGACATTTCTAATATTGCAAAAGATTTCTATTTCAAATAAGAAAAACTTTTCTATTCATCAAAGAATCCTGAAACAAGTATGGTTTCCACAAAAGATATGAAGCAGCACAACTGATTTCAACATTGATAATAATAAGTTTCTTGAGCAGTAAATCAGCTGCTCAAATAAATGCAACTTTTTGATCAATTAAATGCAGCCTTGGTGAAAAAGACTTCTTTCAAAAACATTAATCAATCTTACCAACCCCGAACTTTTGAATGGTAGTGTACGCACTTGAAAAAGCTGAATTTCTTGTGCAATCTGCACCTGGTCTGTAGGTCCTGTAACAGGAGCACATGGGAGTCCTTTTAGGTCTTCTTGACTCTAATGAATGAATATGATGCAAATGCCTTCTGCAAACATGTACTTTCTGTGTTGCAAACATTCTCTTTTCCCCCTCTGATTTCATGTGCTGAGATGAGTGCATATCTTCTCCTGCAAGTGCGTGTTTGCAGTAGGGAATGTATGCATAGTCCGAGACAACATAAATATCTATAAAAGCATTTTTGACAAAAGAGTCAAGCAAAGTCAAGACAAAGTGTTTTGTTTTTTTTTGCAAAAAGATTTCCCATTTTTTCGTGATATATAAAGGTGATGTGATTGGTGAAGGATAACATCATTAAGCCTTTAATGATGCACATCCGAAAGGCTAATGGAATTTTTTTTTTATTATGTACTGTATATAGGTGACATGCACAAAGTACAGTTAATAAAATATTGGTTTCAGTATTTCTTGACTGATCAAATGCAAACAGCCAGTCATAGAGCGTAACATTGATATTAAGCAACTGATGCAACCATGATTGAGACATGAAAATGATATATTGAAAGTCCATGCAGCTTTGTGTGAAGCAGTACAATATAACATTCTACCTCAAGAACAGGGTACCTCAGTCTGAATTTGTATACCTTATAAAGCTCTCAAACTTAGAGCATTTTTTATTTTTTTAAATAAAAGCACACAAAGAGAAAAAAAGGTTTAGTGCAAGGCACCAACACGGCTTGCTTGTTCTTGCGAAAGGTTTCAGGACCCTGCATCAGAAACTGATTGTTGCTTTATGGACCGTTTGACTTAAATGAGCTCTTGAGGTCAATACAACTCTTGGGCAACTGAACATTTGTGTTGACAGTGCTTTGTTTCTTGCAGTTTATGTTTGTACTGAAATAATCGTCTTGACAGATATATAGTGTCTAAGAATACAGCTTAATCCAACCATATGCAGTGTTCTTCAACCTGTGTAGGGACATTTAGAAGACATTATCTTTGTTACTCTGTTACAAATGGCTTGGTAATTTTTCTCTGTTTTGGAGGTCATATCAGATGAGATGGTCCGTTTTGAATTTTATTCTAACCGTGTTTGTGTGAGGTTTTAGTATAGGAATAATCGACAGTTTACTGCTGAATATTAGCATAATGATATTAGGCACTTTTGAATTTGATCTTTTCAATTTGGGAATCTGTAGTAAGATTTTGCTGTGTCAAATGGGAGGGATGTCCAGCTGTCTCAAGACCATCTCTTCTCGTATCATTTACAAAGACAACATGTACATGAAACTTGATTTTTGGCGTATTACTTCTGTTGCTGTCTCTGTGTCCATTTCTCTTCACATTCTACCATGTTCAAAATGTCTTTATTGACCACTTGTACCGTGAATACTTCTGGGTGTTTGATAAGCCTGTCCCTTTAATCCTTATTTGAGATGAGCTTCTGATATCAACTTAAAGTATGTAAAGTATGGGCTCTAGACAAGTGTGGGTGAGTTTGGGGACAATAGGAGTGTGAGAGAACAATCATGAATACACATCTGTTTTTATGTTTTCTGGGAGGGTCTCACTACTTTTCACGTGGATATGAGCAATAAAGAGTCTTTAAAACAATGTTTTTTTCCCTTCATCTTTATATCAATACATCAAGTTTACTTGTGTCAGCAATAGCTTAAAGATTCTGTGGAAGCTTGTTTCCGCCACAGGATAAAAAAAAATCTAAAAAGGTAATTGATAATTTTTTTCTCATAATTCAGACCTTTCCCCCGCAATTCTGAGTTTATATCTCACAAATATGGCTCGTTTTTCTCGAAATTGTGAAGAAAAACGTGAAGAAACTCAGAAATCTGACTTTTTTTCCACTTGCAATTTTAAGTCTGAAATATCAAGCGTAGCGTTAGTTCTGGCAGGTCACGTTTCCATCTACCTATAGGAATACGACAGCTATCTAAGCATTCATATATAAGGTCCCTCAGTATTATCAGCAGTTTTCGCATTGCTCAATAGCTAATTACCCTCCTCCATCCCCAGCTCCTCCTCTGTCAGTCAGGATTCAGCCTTCTGATTATCCTTTGAATCAGACTAATTCTAAAATGTGTACATAAAATTATTGAACTTTAACGATGACTACATCGGGGGGGGGGTTTAGTCATCGTAGTCAGCATGGATGCGCAGGGAGTTCTTGCCCAGAACAGAACCATACCGCCAATCCAGACCGTATGCTAATTGTCAATCATCTTTGACGATAGTGGTCCTGACAGAACTACATTTATCTCACAGTTGTTGTTTTTTTTCTTGCAATTGCAAGTTTGTATCTCACAATTCTAGTTGATCAGAATTGCAAGTTTATGCAATGACTTTTTATCTCAAGCAATGTCTGAATTGTGAGATAAAAAGTCGCAGTTACCTTTATTTTTTTTTATCTCATGGCAGAAATGGGCTTCCATTAGATTCTGAATGCTAAAGTGAAACCTTGATGTCTGTTGGAATATATGATTACATAATATTATATAATATTGCAATATTCTTATCCTGCAGTTATACAACTTACTAACGTGTTTTTACCTGTAAGTAGCTCGGCATTGATTATGCACCTGTAGAACTCTGTAGAAATAGTTTGGCTAATGCTTTTAGCTGCCAATATAGTAAAATTATCTCTCTCATTTCAGCAATTTTACCATGTATAAATCCATTCCACATAATTTAGCAGTCTGTGGCTGCATATACTGTAAGTTACAATAAGATGCTAAATTGTTTCAAATGTTTTTATTATGGAATTCAACCTTTTGAAGAACTTCTTAATTGTGAACAGCAGTTAAAACTTGGTTATAACAGAATTATACATTTCAAGTGCTCAAACAACAGTTTTCAATGCAAAAACTAAACCTTAATCTGTACACAACAACATCTGTACACGTTAAGACATTGATTTATTTTTCCATATGTGACTCAAAACAGGAGAGCTTCTGTAATGCAGTAATTATTCAAGTAGCACCTATAGATGCAATTCATGAAATTGCATACTGCAATGGAAATTCATTTTGTTTTTAAAGGATACATATCATATTCACCATAGAAACAGCACTAGAATGTAGAGTTTCTGCCAACTGTCCAAAACAGGTCATTAGTAGTGTGCGTTTTTGTAGCTAGAGATGAATGCACATGTGCACATATGACAAAATTGTATATGTTTGACAAGGTCAGTTATCAATCCCTGAATGTACTGTGCAAGTCCAGAAGATTTAGCCCGTCATATAAATGATCAGTGCACAAGGCTATATTTAAAGCATAACACTAACTTGCAAATAAAAGGACATCCTGACAGTAGGATGCTTGAGGATAATGAATATAATAAAATCAATTTTTTTATTTTTTTTAATCACTTTAAAATATTTAAATGGCTTTTTAAAGCCTGGACTCAGTGGTATCCACCTTATTTTTCAGCGCAGAAGTAAGCCTTTTTTTTGTGAATTTGCCAAACTTCTGATTCATTAGCTGGTATAGGAAATAACAAGAAGAATAACTAGTGCCATAGAAGTGCAGTAATTGAAAAACTATTTGTGCTACAAACCAGTGTTTATAATTATTGCAATCTGTTGAAATAATATTACAAGAATGACACGGAAAGCACATTCAAGTTACAAATGGCTGCATTCGCTGTTAAGTTTAAAAAATAAGGTTGGATACAGTATAGGTAAAACTGGAATATTATTTTAAATAAAAATGTTTGTATGTAATACATTTTATTAAATCTGCAATTGTTACTTTAAAGAGCTATTTACATGATTTAATCCATAAAATTTTTGTTTGTAATAAAGTAATGTATTTAGGTTAATTGAGTGATATTAAATAATATTTTTTTAATGAATAAAGCCAGTTAATTTAAATGTTTCCATTTTTAGGGTACCATTTTATCAGTGTACATTTAGGGGGAAAGTAACTAATCATTAGTTCTATTTTAGTAAGATGTGTAAGCATACACAAAAACACATAAAACTTAGTTATTTACAGTTTCTTCAAATAAATAAAGCCATAAACAAACATGGTCACTAAACAGTATCTGACAACATAAGTATTAAAATATTTTTTGCTTCAATAAAACTTAAAAGCTAGGCTGTCAGATTCCCTTTTTTCCTATAAAATGAGGCTATGTCCAGTGGGTATAGAAAAGAATCACATTCTTTAAAATAATCACATTTTGTTGCTTTGCAGCCTGAAATGAAGATGGACAAAGTTTTTGTTTTATCCAGTTGTATTTACTCAGTGCAACTTAAAATAACATCCAAGTGAAAGACAGCTGGATAAAACAAAAAAAAGTGTCTGTCCATCTTCAATTCAGGCTGCAAAGCAACAAAATGTGATTATTTTAAAGGGGGTGATTCTTTTCTATACCCACTGTATGTAACATGTCAGCAATCTAAGTGTGTTCTCTTTTAAGACATTAATAGTCTGTTCTTTTGTGCTTTATCATCATTATAGACATTCAATAATTGTATTTCTGTCCATGTCAGTTCCACTCTGCATTCAGACATTCATAAGCAAATCCTCAGCTGTGACTCCAGACCAATGATCAGTCCCATATTAACAGACTGCAGTCTCCTCTTCTGTCTGTCTTTGGGTCATCTAGTCTTGCGATCATTCAGGACCTTTCGGTGTCCATTGGCCTCCAGGCCATCAAGTTTGAGGTGGGCCTGGCTGCAGTGGCGGATCAGAGCTCCGGGAAGTAGAGACACACAGGCGATCAACAGGAGCTGCAGCACGGTGCCCCACGAAAAGATGTCATCCAAAGAGTGGATCTCAGACAAGATGGCACCCGTACGGACACAGATAAAATTATAAGGGATTAGACCTGGGGAGAAAATAAGCCTTTGAGATCATGAGGGTTGTTTTTCAAGGTCAAAATGGAATTATTAGGAAACTTTAGGGGGGGGAAAACAATGCAGAATTGCAATGGAGTGCATAACATAAAAATACATGAATGTATATCTGAACATGTACTGTAAGCTCACCAATGAGGATGGAGAAAAAGAATATGGGGATGGGGATGTTGAGGATTGGAGAGGTGACATTCAGAAACCAGTTTGGCGTCATGGGAAAGAACCGCAGAAAGAGCAAGAAGAAGAACAAACTACTCCTGTTCTTTTCCACCTAATAGAGAGAGATTCATCATGTGCTCATGTTGCATTAAGTTTCAACTCCAAAGTTTTATAACAGATGAAAATAATGATTATGATCAGGGTTGTCAAATTGGGCTATTTTTAAAAAAAATTTCATCACAAAGCATGCCTTATAAATATATATACAGTATACCTGACAAGTGCTCCAGTCCCTGCTGCAGAGAAACACCCCCATAAAGTTGCTGTAGGCCTCTTGGGAGCCTCTCTGACCAGTTTCCTCCTGCCTCTTTCATCCAGTTTGGAGCGACGTCCTAATCCAGGGAGGGTCTGTGTTGTACCAAATACATTCCTCTTCTTAATAATAGACTTCACTGGGCTTCTAGGCATTGATAGAGCCTTTGACATATTTTTGTATCCATCTCCTGACATGTGCCTGTCCACAACTTTATCCCGAAGATCTTTTGACAGTGCCTTGCCACCCATAGTTGATTGTTTGCTTCAGTTGATTTTGTTTTTTATTTCTCTTTTTTTTCTGACATGTTGGTGTTATATCTTTCACTTGGATGTTATAAGTTGCACTGAGTAAATGAAACCAAGCTGAATAAAACAAAAATTGGGTCTGTCTTCATTTCAGGCTGCAAAGCAACAAAATGTGATTATTTTAAAGGGGGATGATTCTTTTCTATATCCACTGTATATTTAGCTGCATGTACAGTTTATTTATTTATTTATTTTTAAGATTTGAAGTACACTATAAGTGCACATTCAATACAATTAAGCACACTTCTTTTCACAAGTGGCATATGAGATTATGTCCAGGAAAGGACAGTAGGACACATGATGTAAATGGCATTTAGAGAAACTGGTGATCAATCGTTTGTTTCAGTCTAATGAGGTGGTTTCAGGCAGGTCTAGTAGACCTCTTTTACCAACCAAAAAGGACGAGCCTGGAATGGCGAAGGACTGCTTGTAGAGGTAGGCACTGCAAAAGAGGAAGAACACATAGCCAGTGTGTTCTGTCTTATAGAACTGCAACAGCTCGGCTAGTTCCCTCAACTCGTCCAGATCAGACGGGAACTTCAACCTGGAGAAAACATAAGAAATGATGGAATCAGTAAAATAATGGCACTGAACTTGTAAGATTCTCTTGTAATTTCTAACAGATTGGAGAGTGGCTGTTTTCTTCCCATCAACCAAATTGCTTACCCTTACAAAAATCAGCACTAAAGAGACTGCTTTGTAGGAGGACAAGGGTTTTACTTTTAATCAATGGATTCATTGAGTGGATACTGTGGTCTTTAGTAATATGACTTGAGCGTAATGATCTGAAAAAGCCCTCTGTTGCCTTCTGGTGAGTCTCTGTACTGCAAAAAGTGGTGACCTACAACTGTTACATTAAAGAGATACAGGTATTTGTACATGATTTAATCTATATAAAGTAGTTTTGGTGGTATAAATTAATGTTTTAGGTTGATTCAGTGATATTAAATCATATTTTTGACTTTAATAAAACTTTTTTTCAGTGATTTTACAAGTGTCTAAATTTTGAGTGGGTAATAAAATACTCTCTGAAATCAGACATGTCTGAAGGGTGAGAGTTTTTTTTTTTTTTTTAATACAGGACAAATCTCATATGCCTCTTTTACAATCTTATAATTAATTAAATGAGTGAATAATTTAGACCAGGGTTTTCAACAAGGGTAAGGGGTCATTTTTGGAAGAACTGTCTTATCTAATTTCATTTAAATGTTTCTTTTTTTCTTACATATTAAAATGTATTACATAAAATTAGAAAGTACATGACTATTCAATTATATCAATAACAATTATTTAAATGGCTGTGGAATGTAAGCATCACAATAAACTACTGTATATAAATACATTATAGTACTATTAATACATACTCTAAAAAGTGGTGACCTGCAATTGTTACCTTAAGCTGGCTGCACACTAGACGATTTTCAAATCTTAACCGATTTTAAAACCATGGGAGACCACAGACAAGAAGACAGTTCAACAGATTTTTAGCTTTATAATCCTCTGAACGCACACACTAGACGATTCGACCAGACCGCGAGACCACACACTTGATGATTTCACAGTGACACGCGATCTCACGGACACTCGCGAGATCAAATGTGACTAGAGAAGAAAAACAAATAGAGGACAATCAATGTTGTCAGCTGACTCTCCTGCATGCGTTCTGTGTCACAGTGAAAAACAAAGTATAGAAAAGAATATGGGTGATGTTCTCTGCTTTCATGGCATGTTTCAGAGATTGTCTTATGTTTGTGGCTGCCAGGTTTCAGCTATAAAAGCACGCAACATCCGGTGAGTGACGCTTGCTTGCTCTCATTGGCTATCGCGGGTATCACGTCATGCCCGGTTCAGACTACACGATTTTAGCACGATTTTGCCACAATTTGCTTGACGTAGGGTGTTGTGGGGATTCATAAACGACAATGGGCGTCGGAACGCAAGATTACATCGTTTCACCTCGTGTAGTGTGTCATAGTGGACGACAACCGATTCCGCGTCTGCGATGCTTCACGACAGAAAGACTAGCATGTTTTTTTCCGTCGTCCACGACGAGTTCCGTCACATTGGTGACGTTGACCAATAGCAGCACAGAAGCTCTTTCATACACAGTTTTCAAACATGGCGAAACGGTGCTGCTAGGTGGAATTATGAGATGGAGGAAAGGTTCGTGGAGCAAAGAAAGAAAAATGCTGGCGAACTATAGCGGAAGCACTTCAGCAATGTTTACACTCTTGTTTTCGGAAGTCAGTCGCTAGTTCTGCCTTCTCGATGACATCATGCGCGTCGTTAAAGACGGCACACGATGAATGGTCGGGAAGCAACATGTAGTCTTACATGTTTCTTGTCCACGACACAACAAGATTTTAGGAGTCAAAATC